GGCCCGCTCCACTGGTTTGCTTGCACGAATCGGAGCCTCCAATCGCGTTTATTGCCGAGGACCTGGCAGAGCTTCATCGAAGACATTTGCAGGATCGATACTAGTACCTTGAAGTCAAAGTCCCAGTATGTGAGAGCTTTGGGTGCAGGAGCTGCGAGTGCTCTACGACCAGAAGATCCAAAGCCTCCTCGACCAGGGGCGGGGAGGGAGCCTTGCTGTTTGTGCATTTCCTGTTGCATCCCTGTGCAGTGGGCAGGTGGACTTTGCAAGCTCAGGGCCTCGCAGCGCTGGCCAGCCGGCATCTGAGGCCCGCAAGCAAACCACCAGGAGGCCTGACTCTTGTCAACCCTTGTCAACTCTTGTTTCTTGTTTGAGGCATCGGCAGCAGGTGCAGGACCAGCAGCGGCAGCAGCAGCAGCTTCTTTGTGTTCAGCGGGCTAAGTTCCGAGAAGCTCAAATGAGACGGGCGGCAAAAGCGGCGCTACCGTCGACTTCGACCCTGCCAGCTTCTGGCGGCCCTGGCCCCGTCCTGCGACTCTAAGTGACGGCAACAAATCTGAGTTTAGTTATTATCTCATTTTCAATGCCTGTCCATGGCCTAAGAGGCAGTTGGGATCTCAGCTGAGATGCGTGACGGGAGTGGTGAGACCTTCTCCTGTCCTCCTGGTTGCATCGGCTGAACTCCGCCTGAAGACCCGATTCTTGGCCGGGCTGCCAAGCAGCTCCTGCGTATTTTCAAGCTGCCGCTCCAAAAGGTGCACCTCGTGCCTGTGTGCTTGCCTCCGCGGTTTGACATCATCTGTGCCTCAGTCTGCTATGCGGTGCATTGTCAGTCTCCGAACGACGATGTTCGCGAGCAAGCAGTTTGGGTGCTCTACTGAGCTCTTTGGCGTCCGCTTAGTGTGGTAGCGAGCTCGGTGTTCCTTAGGCGCTGGGTAACATCGCCGGCGATTCGCCCAACTTTAGAGATCTGGTCCTGCAGAGCGGAGGCAGGGAGGGCAATTGCACTGCTCTGCACTGCAATCCATTCTCCTCTTAGGCCTTCACCCCGTGATGACTGTCCTGCGAGAGATCCTTGGATTGCACGGAACGGGAATCACGTAGGTCAGTCACGACGCGATGTATGCAACACGTTGAGCTAGGTCCGAGAAAACATCGATGATGCGAAATGCCACATGGACACTGTCAAATCTTTGCCGCGGCAAACCTCCACCACCCTTCGAGTGGGCACGGCACCTGGAAGTTCGAACGGGTACGGGGGTACGGGCTCGGCGGTGTCTCTGAAGGTGTCGCCGGCACTGGGCACTCTAGCGAACCTTATCTACTCCTGCGACTGCGAGGTCTGACAGAAGTGTGCAGTCCGGCATGTGTGGTCTCGAACTTTGGAAGGTCTTGACCGATGCCTGCTGGGCCCTCTCCTATTTGTCGGACGGCCCCAACGAGCGAATCACAGCCGTCATCCAGGAGAGCAGAGCAGAGACAGCTCTCTTTCTTGCAGTCTCTGGGCCGAGGGTCTCGGGCCTGATGCAGCGAAGCGAGTGCTTTGGTGCGTCGCCAGGCCGGCGTTTGCCGTCGGCTTGTGGAGCTGCTGCTTCCGCCTAAAGTCGCCGAGTCGCAGCCGCGGTCGGGTCTGGTCGCTGCGCTGTGACCGAGGCTCCATACGTCCCCACTGGTGCAGACGCCCGCGTTGCGGGCTGTGGGCAACATCGTGACCGGCGACGACAACCAGACACAGGCCCAAACAGGATCAGCCCCGCAAACGACCCGAAACGAGCCGCAGTGGGAAGGTGATTCTGCAGAGCGGGGCCTTGCCGTCGCTCCTGAAGCTTCTCTCCCATGCGAAGAAGGCAGCATTTCTGGCGTAACCGCCCTCAATTTGCTTTGTTTTCCCCTACTGCACCATTCGCAGGCAATTAGAAAAGAGAGCTGCTGGACAATCTCCAACATCACAGCCGGGAATCGCGAGCAGATTCAGGAGGCATGTAGCGAATGTGGTGTGTCCGACACAGCCGACGCTGTACATAGATCTCGGATTGCGCAGTTGCATTCCGATCTGCAGAAGATCGCAAGGGGTCATGCCGCCACGAGGTTATCAACAATGGCCTGCTCCCACCGGCTACTCGGCGTCCTTCATCGACGCCAGGATGCGCTTATCTGTCCGGTCAACAACACTTTGCCGACATGAGGTCATCCACTTGTTGCAGACGGCCGATTTTGACATCAAGAAAGAGGCCTGTCACGGCAAGGCAGAGCGACCTTTTGCTTGATGGGATCTAAGGCAGCCTGGGCGATCAGCAACGCAACCTCGGGTGGATCTCCACAGCAGGCTGCGCCAATTTGTGACTTTTGTGACTTTGTCCTTCTCGTGGCGGCTTGCGCAAGGTGGAATACCTGGTGGAGATGCAGTGTATCAAGCCTTTGGCCGCACACACAGGTAAGAAGAGACCGAGGGCAAGAGCTCAGGTTGCAGACTGCAGATGGATGCTGGTAGCCTGTTATTTGTAGAGTCCATCTCTCTACAAGGCTTCAGGTGTCGGATCGTGTCGGGGTGGGTTTGCTTGATTTCCAGCCTTTCTCCTGTAGCCTACCGTTCTCGAGTCCCTATCCGCACTCCCGTCCTCCCACTGAGCTCAAATTCGCACCCAAAGCAGAGTGCAGCAAGCACTCCTCTAAAGTGGTTTGGAGAGCATCCATGTCCAAAACCTAATGACGTCCATGGTCTAGCGCATTTTGGTTTGGAGAGCATCCATGTCCAAAACCTAATGCCGTCCATGGCCTAGCGCATTTTGGTTTGGAGAGCATCCATGTCCAAAACCTAATGACGTCCATGGTCTAGCGCATTTTGGTTTGGAGAGCATCCATGTCCAAAACCTAATGCCGTCCATGGCCTAGCGCATTTTGGTTTGGAGAGCATCCATGTCCAAAACCTAATGACGTCCATGGTCTAGCGCATTTTGGTTTGGAGAGCATCCATGTCCAAAACCTTTCGAAATGTTGCTTTTTTGCATCGCACTGAGCGGGGATGGTACTTTCCACTGCTCTTTAACAGCTTACTCTGTGCGTCACTAGTTCAATAACAAGTAGAGGCGCAAAAACCGCACATCAGCAGCATCCAGCATTATCATGTGCATCATCACTTTCGTAAGCACCATCTTCAATAGCATCATCATGAACATCATCATCATCATGATCATCCTCATCTTTATGTTACGCCGCATCTTGGACCGCGACAGCTTTGATGGAACATGTTGTACATCCACGAACTCTGCGACCAGCGTCGCACCAGGGGGGATTGGGTAGTAGTAGTAGTAGTAGTAGCAGCAGCAGTAGTAGTAGTAGTTGTAGTAGTAGTAGTAGTAGTAGTAGTAGTAGTAGTAGTAGTAGTAGTAGTAGTAGTAATAGTAGTAGTAGTAGTAGCAGCAGCAGCAGCAGTGAATTCAGCAGTAACAGCAGCAGGAGACATGCAAAGTTCGAAACAGCTCTAAAACTTGGAGACTTGTAGCACGTGGACCAATGACCCAGGTGTCGATAAGAAGGAAACCACAGCTAACGAAGGAAACAGGGATATCGAAAGAAAAGATTGAGGTCGACTTGCTGGTCGTTTCAGATGCCAAGATCATCGGTTTGAGCCTGAGAGATGAAGCAATTTGGTGTTTCATAGAATTTGGTTTTTGAAACACACAGGTGTGGCGCTGGAAGCTTTGGAGAATATCTTAAAGGCCAGTGGCATCCCGGTGCCCCAGATGGTCCGGGCCTACAGGGACTGCTTCGCCTCGTTTGGCGCCGCAGGTGGGCAAGGACAAGCAGCAGAAGCTGGGCATGGCCGAGAATCCTTTTGCTGCGAAGATCGAGCAGGCAACTGTGGTGTTGTCGCCCTCGCAATCGACACAAACAAGCAATTGGTCGGCGCCCGCTTCGTGTTCGCAGGCCGACGGCTTGCCGAAGATCGAGAATCTTCAGGAGGATCCCAATGAGGAAGTGTACCGCTGCGGTGATGCAAGTGCTTTGTGGGAGTTGCAGCTCTTGCTATGGAGCTCTTCTTGAACTTCCAGGTACCAGAAGGCGATGAAGATTCTGGAGAAGTACTTCCCGCTGGAGGTACGGGGGCATCAAAGGCTTGCATCGGTCTGCGCAGACAGACACTCCTCATTCCGGAAGGATGAAGATGCAGAAATCGGTGAAGATGCCGTGACCTCACCCAGCATGCATAGCCGTGTCAGGTCTAGGACTTGAACTTGCTTGGACAGATGCTGTTGTGAGCTCCGACGTGACTTCACCTAGCCCATAACGCTTTGTGCTGTCACTGAGTCATCGGAAGCAGTGGTGTGCTTGGCTGAGGTCTCGAATCCTCAACAGTTCCAGTTTGGTGCACAGGTGCCCACAGGTGCGCAAATGCTGCTAGGCACCGCTCGGATCTTCTGTGCTGTGCTGATTCAGGCGGCTTCAGTTTTGGATCCTGAGCGCTACATCTTTCCCAAGTTTAAGGACAGGCGGACGGATGTATCAAGGACACGAGCAGAGAATCTCACCCTGTGGTGCGGGCACACCAGAGAACCTTCCTCTTGGGATCTCACTGCCCAACAGCACACGCAGTGTGTGCAGTTTGTGCAAAGGTCGGGTGCATCTCTGCAAATCGAATTGTAAAGTCTTCTCAGATTCAGATTTCCCAGTGTCCTTGACCTCTTCCTCAGTTCTCTTTCGAGGACCGGGAGAGCTTAGGATCCGATCTGACGTTTGGCTCCATGTCATGGCCCATGGCACCGCAAGATTTGTGACACGGCGATTCGCCATGTGGCTCCGGGTCGGGTCCAAGCCTTCGATGCGATGCATTCGATGCACTCTACTTCTTAAGCCGGGAACCACATGCGGCCCGGCGCTTTGTGCGACCTTCGGGAGCAAAAAGGGCTTCACGTTTGGCTTCTGAGATGAGCAGTGTCTTGCAGCAGGCTGAAGGCCCCCCGGACAAGCCGCGTGGTTCGAGAGGCCCAGCGCCGCGCACGATGGCGATGGCGGTGGCGAAGGTGGCTGTGGATTCAATTGCACAGCGAGGCTTTGCGACGCCTGCAACACCCTCAGCACCTTCTCGATGCCGGTGCCGGGTCGAGGTCCGATTTGGGTAGAACTGGGTACCAACCACTGTAGCGCTTCAAATAGCTCGCAGAGAGTTCGCTCTCGCTGCAGGTTCAGTCTGTGAAGCACGGGCAGCCGATTTTTCTGGCCATGGGGGTCTTTGCGGTGCCACTGAAGGGTCTTGTTTCGAAGAAGCGGCGGTTCGGGTGCCGCGCGCGGGGCGGAAGCGGCGGAAGCTTCCTAGGCGCTCCTCCGTAAGGGTTTTTTCCATGATCATAGAGAAACGCTGGGAAACCCTTAAAAGAGCGCTTAAATCGAGCGCGAAACCAGTCACGCATGGATTTTAGAGAAACGCGTTGAAATCGAGATTGCTGCTGCTTGGAGGCTCCGCGGCATACACATGATGGTTCGCCTAGCTACTTTGGACTTCGACTTTAAACCTGCATCGTGTGTAAGTCTCTATCTGGGTATACAACCGTTATACATACATGTGTATATATATATATACACATGCATATCGATATTTAGCAGACAATTAATAAACCTACATATATTGATATAGATATTTTTGTGGAAGTAATTCGGAAGAACGTGCTTGGTGACCACGATGTTGCCATCCTGCAACGGTCCTTCAACTCCACCCAACCAGCCGCAAATTGGCCTCCCTATGCCCACAAATCCCGGGTGATGCTCATGATGCTGGGCCCCTGTGTTCATTGTGATGGGTGTGGGGTGGTTTCCGGAGGGTGTGGACAAGTGACCCAAGACCCTGTTCGCAAAAGCCTCTTGGGTCACTTCCTTCAACTCCTCGATGCATGAGAGTTTTTCCTTCTCAAGCTAGTACTCAGCCCAAATACCAGGCTCCCGGTACGCAGAGACCCCAAGAGGCCCCAGAAGGCCACAAACAGAAATTCCATGGGTTTCGCCAGAGACGAACAGGGTTGACCAAACCAAACCTGACTCATGTTTTTCGTTTTTTCGCATGTTTTTTGCTTTTTGTACTTTTTAGGTGGACCCGAGGCCCCGCAACACGCACGCAAATACCCGCAACACGCACGCAAATCCCAGCAACACGCACGCAAATTAAAAAACATAACTTTAGGCTCCTCGTCGCTCATGGAAATCACACTTGCCGCATGTTTTTTGGATTTTTGACAGCCAGCAGCAGGTGATCCGTGTGTGGCAGGCATGCAATCGCACATTTTGGGCTTCGTGTAGTGGCCACGGTGGGCGGAACGGCAGTTGCGAATCCGTTATGGATTCGATGATTGAGGCCGAGCTTGAAGCCTGCATCACGTTTGCCGGGCTGCAGTTCATCATGAGCATTTATAGCTTGTCGCACGCATGTGGGTAAGGCATCACAAGCCCGGATGGCAGGTCTTGAAGCCTCCCCCCCTGGCAGAATCGCAAGCTCGGCAAGAAAAGCTTTGGATACCAACCAGAACTTGAACGACGTGCTCGCAGAGGTTCGTGAAGGACATGCATGTGCATTCGCATTATAATGTATATGTGGACGTACTTAAGTTTTCGTAGATGTGATATCACACAGGAGCACCCATTGCCAATCCGGCTCCTGCTTTGGAGAGAAGCCACACAATTATGTATACACCCTGAACCATATAGATCGATACATATATATATATATATATCATCAGAGTTCGCGGCGATATATAAGGGGCTTTCGTGACAGGACTGTGTAGATAATGTACACAGAAACGACGATGTTGGGGAATAAGTAGCTTTGTCAATCATCACGCACAGAAATCCGGAAAGCGCCTGGAAATCCACATGCTTGAACGCCGCGCGGGGAAATCTTAGGGTACGAAAATTTCCATAGCAAAGGAGCTGCTAGGTTGGAGTCAAAACTGGAGCTGTCCTCCGAGTTCGACGCGGAGGATCCGGAGTTGCGGGTAGAGGCGGCGAATCAGGTGGGAGCCATGAACGTCACCAGCACACTCTGGCCGCCAAAGCGGCAGCAGGCAGATCCCACGGAGTTGAGTCCGGTACAACAGGAGACGACGGTGGGGCGCTTCACAGGCTCCGCGCCGGCTTTCTCAGCTTGGCCCTTCTACCAAGCTGATTACACAGACTTCCCCGCGGAGCTGCAGCCGCTTTCTGAGAAAGACAAAGAGCTTGAGATCTACAAGGCCAAGAGACAGTTCAACAAAAAGCAAGCTGTCAAGCGCAAAAGGGGGCGCAAAGCGGGCGCAAGCAGCCTGCCCTTTCGTGCCCTTTCGTGCCCTTTCGTTGCTTTTGCAGGTCGTGGACTTCGTCTCCTCGAGCGCTTTGACGCGGGCTTTCGCTTTGGCCAGCCGCTGGCAGAAGCAGAATTTGGGACGCTCAGCCGGCTTTGACCGCACCTTGGCAGAGGCAGAGCTTAGCAGCTTAGCACACGCTGAGCACAATTAGTTCATGCCAGTGAGTTGTTGCTTGGTGCTTTGGTGCTTGGCGCGGAGCCGCACTCTGATCGCAATCGGAAGCGAAGGACTGGGCGCTGGGGTCTTGAGCGGCTTCAAGTACACCAACCCCATCCTCCTGCGCCAGCTGCAGGGCCTGAACGTCCTCTTGAGCTGGAGGGAAGAGAGGCATTCGAATGGCCCGCTTCCCCTTTTATCGGAAGAGGGCCTCCTGGAGTTCTTGCTGGAGGTCGGTGCCTCGGACTTCACGCAGAAGGAGTTCCGTGCTGTGGCGCCTGTGGGCCGCGAGGCAGCGCAGACTTATGCCCGTATACACCTTGTGCCTTGTAACTCTGTAGCATTCTGTAGCTGCTGTAGCGGCGCACTGCCGCCATTGAGTCGGCGTTTTGAGGCTCTGGTGACCGGCTTGGTTGGCACTTCCGGCTCTGCTCTGGCCACTGGACCAAAGGGAGCAGTCTCGACATCCAGATCTGTCTAGGCCGCGCCCGGGACGCGTGAAATCACGCTTCCGCATCGGATGCCACTCGCAGAGTCCACCCAAACCGGAACGTAGGGCCCGTAGGGCCCGTAGCGCTGTCGTGTCAGGCCACGACTGCCTCGACCAGGCCGGGGCCGGCGCGAGCCGGCCATCGCATCGTTTCGTGGGGTTTCGGTTGCTCAGGTCGGAGTCGCCCTTAGTCGCCTTTCGCTTCACTTAGTCGCTTCGCTTTCGCAGGGCCCCGTTGCGGAGGAGCCCGGCACTCAGAGGGAACCGGCGGCTTGTGCGGTGCCCTCAGAGATCTGTGAAGAGTCAACGGCATTTGGCCTGTTTCTCATCAACGAAAAGTGTCAGTGTGTCAGTGTGTGTCCCGATAATGGGCCAAGTACGAGAGGCAGCGAGGCAGAGGCTTCAGAAGCATTATTTGCAACAGACAGGCGGCTTCTGCGTCTGCTGGCTGGCCGAGCACGTGCTTGCTCGCTGCAGCTCCGCTGCCGCGGCCGCTTTACAGAGCCGCGGTTAATGTAATGCCAACTTAGGGCTCGAGCCCCCAAGAGAGAAGCCCAGCTCGTCCAGCTGTTCCTTCGATTTTTTGCAAACGGCGCCCTGGTAAGAACTCTTTTGCATGTCTTTGAGATGCCTCAAGGGACGGGAAAGCAAGAGCTTTTGGCGCCAGGAGAAAGGCAAGCTACTGGTTCCCTGCAAAGCCCTGAACTTCAAGCTGGTGCGGGAAGGGGACACAGGGAGGAGAGACTATGTTCCATGCGGAAGCAAGGTGTATTGATAGCATTTCCGGAGGTGCCGGGCGAGAAGCACTTTGCAGAGGATAGCAGTGATCAAGATGCCTTGAGCGATCCGTATTTCACCAAAGCAAAGCTGCTTCGTGGAAATATGAGTTCAAGATCGGAGACATTTTCGTCTTTTTCGTTGGGTCATGTCCAGTTGCTGTTTGGCACGCTGGAGACTTCCCTTGAGTCCCAGCACATGTCTAAACAGTTGTGGTCTCCAGCCCAACTTGCCGAGGGTCTTTGAGGCCGTCCCAGTCCTCAGCTCAGCCAAAGCTGTTCGAATACTCGGAAGTCTAACTTTGGCTCATTCGTTCCTTGATCCAAGGAAGCTGTTCCAGGACGCAGCACAGGGAAGGGCGGAAGAGTGCACCCTTATGAGTGCATAAGCATGTGGGAGGATTGCGCACATGGCTGTTGCTGCTCTGTCTCGAGGCAGGAGTTCTTGCGAAGCTCATTTCACGTGAGAAAAGCACTGCGTTTTGTTAGGACCAGTTGGGGTTGGTGAACGAGTGGTGTGACGATCAGGGCGCGGCCACATTGGAGGAGGCACATCCTTTCCCGACCGTGAGAAGAGACCAGACAGGCAGAGTCAGAGAGTCTTTGTGGAGCTGCCTTCACGCCTCTATACGCCGCTTTTGCCAGATGCTTCTGTTCTTTCTCACCGAGACCACGGCTCTTGTTTCTTATGTCCTTTCGTCCTTTCCGGCCGTGTTCGCGGGATGGGCAAAATCAGTGGGGTTTCGGCTGCAGCCTAGATAAAGCATCTGCTCCAGGAAACTAGTGCAATAGTGCAGCAGTGCAGCACCTGAGATCAAGCAGAGCGTGTCCCTGAGCGAGCAGTTCTGTGGGTCGGAGGAAAACATACTGGGTACATGACGAATAAGGGCTGCATGCTTCATTGAGAGGGGGCAGATTTGAGAAACGTCAGGACTCGGAGTCACTACCGCTCCTGCGGGAAAGCTGCCGCCGGATCGCATCATGCTGCCGGTACCTCCGTCCGACCCATCGGAGCCGATGGCTACAAATCGTTCTCACTGGAGAATGATGAGATGATGTCTGAAGGATATGCCAGGAGGCCTCGTCCACCTCCTCCCAACCCTTCTCCTCACGGTCCCTCTTCTGAAGTCCCTGGCGTCGGCTTGGCTCATGCTCGGGTTCAACCGCGCGCGCATACAGCTACTCAACTTCCGTCTCCTCGTGATGTGGGATGCCTCGACAAGAGAAGGTCTCACCACACAAACAGAATCCCATCAGCCTGTCCGAAACCAAAGCCGCACCAAAGGCCTCTGGGCCGGTGCTAGGACGGAGAACAGGAAAGCTCTTCAGATGAGTTCACCCCTCACAGCCTGGTCAGCCGTCACGGCTACCTCACACTTCCGAGCCGGTGAATGATGCTGACTCGGACCATAGTCGTTGCCGTGCTGATGAAGAAGGTGACCTGGTTGTTGATGAATCAGACTGGACTCTGCTCACGAAGGAACGGAAGCCTTTCTGTAACACAGTCTCCTTCACAGTGCCGAGATACCTTGATGGTAGTCCGGTAGACACCAGAGAAGTGACATCACGTAGAAGGTCTGACAAACCCGGTATCGTCCATCCCAAAACGACAAATGTCAAAAGTATGACCTTCTGACCAGACGATTCAACATCGTCGCCAAACCCTTTCCTTGGTACTTCTAACCTTTCCCAAACAGAAAACCACGTCATGATGGCCTTTGCTCGGCGCCCCCAAAGCTCAGACAGACCTCGTCCCTGGTGTGCAACAGCATACAAGTTAGAAGACACAGATCTGGGCAGCAGGTCATGAGGTTCACGTGTAGAAGAGGTTATCTGTACAAATGAGCTTCTCCAAGGCTTCCTCTCGGAGCCCATGAAGAGCAAGAGACATAGCTTAACCAGTCTCGTGAACTGGGGAATTCCCCAGCCACTTGGCAAGTCAGTCTGCCAGCATGCAAATCAGGCAGCCACAACACTTGAGCTCGAAGAAACTTCGCTGAAGAAGCCAGCGCGGAAACATCGATCTGGGAGCGACGATCAAGACCTGCGGCGCGGCTTCGGCCCTGGTAAAGGTCGTAGAGGGCCTGGCATCCGTCACCATGACGTCGGTTTCCGCGAGAGTGTCTTCGACCCTTGTTTGCACTTCTGGGGTTTCAACGAGGAAGAAAAGGCTATGTGATGACGAAGTCGCGGAACGAGGGGGCGAGTCAGACAGATCTAAGACTGCTAAATGAGGGGGCGAGTTTCGGAAATCTTATCCACCGCACCGGGATCGCATCGGAATCGCCAAATCATTTTGAGGACGGTTTAAGAAAGTCAAGCAACAGCAATCACCTAATACGGGGTCTGTGATCAAGACACACAGGCCTCCAAACTCCACATACTATTTCCATCAGAGGACAAGTCGCAGCCGTGACTAAAGGTGGTGGACCTTTGGCCCATAAATTCGCGACAACATTAGCATGTGCAAGTTGCTGGTGCTCATGAGGAATCTTTGTCTGGAGCATAGACCGTCACTTTACTTTCACACACGAAAGGAGACATGCACCAGCTCCTTGTAGAGCTCCGACCACAGCACCACTTCGTCACGAAACACGCCTCCCTAAGAATCCTGAGAAGGAGACTCATCGGGGCACCTACGACATCCGCAGTCACCCACAACAGAATCATATGCATCTTGGTGTCATTCTTGACAAGCATCCCCATGGGCATCCTCTTGTCCTGTTGGCTCTCATCGTGTACGTGTTGGCATGATGAAAGACAAGTTTGCAGTCCACAGCCGAGTCAGGAATACGACCGGACCACATCCGATCGTCTTGCAAGCTGTATCCGTCGAAGACCGCGTGCACCACACGGATCTCATCCATCTGCTCTCTGCAATGGCACTCGAACGCGCTAACAGCTCAGCAGCTCCCAGCATTGAGTCTGTCGATCGTGCTTGTAGCTCGTCCACCGTGAACTTCTTCCCAACCTTCCATGCTGAAGCAGCACAAGGTGCACTGCCTGCAGCATTGGCTGATGAAACCTGAGCCTCCGAGAGGCAGCTCATGTGGCTTATTGTTTCTCGATCAGATGCTGCACCGTCGCCTTACAGCTCCCAAGATCTGTGCGCATTTGCTGCTCTTCATTTGTGACCTGAGGGTTGTTTTAAAGGTCCGTGTCAACGGTTTATGCAAAACCGGCCATGTGACGGGTTTGCGAAAGCAGGCGCGAAAGGCAAACAGTTTTGCACGAAAGTTGTATCAGTACGTGATAACATACTGCATGATTCAATTATGTCCTGCTCTAACATGTCCAATCGATTGAGCCTCAAACAAGCACGCGAGCCTGTAGTCCAAGCCTCTTGGACCGAGTGACCTAAAGCCTGTCGTTTTGTTCGCTGTGTCCATGACACCTTTTAAGCCGTGAACCTGAAACCCTACGGAGAATGAGTTCCTGCACCCTTGCATCGTTTGAGCCCCCAGCCCGTACAGATGGGAACTCCGGGCCTGCCGTCGTACCTTCTGCATGGCGAACATCCAACTTGAACGAGTCCTCAGTACCTGCCTTGACTCGTTCAAGTCAATTGCTCGCTGTCCAGAAGGTACACGGCCTGGAGTTCGTATCTGCAAGGCTGTTGGAAGCTCGTACGGTACAGTGTGCAGTGTAGAGGGGGCAGAGTGCAAGGGCTTGTTGTGGTAGTGACCAAGGTTTGTTTGAGCTGTGAGGATCGGGGGGACTTTTGCAGTTGCGCGAAATTTCTGAGGCAGCAGGCCGCTACAGTCACAGCAGCATTGCCAGAAGGAAATGTGTTTTGGTGCAGGGCATTCCTGCCATATTCGAATTTCCGTGCTATCAGTGGTACTGCACAGCGCGAATCCCGATGCCGCTACAACCTGCCCAGGTAAGCAGGCCTCCCAAGCGCAGCGGAGTTCTTCCGGCAAAACTAAACCGAGGTTGTCCGCAACGGCAGATACAACAAACTTTCGGAGCCAGTGAACCAGCGAGCCAAAACGACCCGAAGGCGGTGACCCCCCAACATCCCGAAGTAGCAGGCGTCTGACCAGCTTGGCGTAGCCGCATGCAAGAGAGTCCCATGTCTTCCCATCACGGATCCACAGCCCTGTGTTGAAAAGGGTCGGTGTGATAGCCGTCGCAGACAAAGAGGACCGTGTGGTCACAATTCCAGGCCCGGGTTGCTCAACAAGGGGGACCTCTGAGGGCTTCTCACTGGCC